CAAGGAGGTGAGACCAAAAGCCAGATGTGATGTACAGAATCAAAGCAAGGAGTTGGAAGAACCAGAGAAATTGATAATAAGAAGCAAGAAAGTAGAAATTTTGAATGTTCAGTGGTTCTCAACTTTAGGGTTCAGGATTGCCAGGGGACTTACTAATGCCTGTGGTGGACTCCCTCTCTGGAACCTCTTTCAGTAGGCCTGTGGTGCAGCCTGAGAACTGGCATTTCTAACAGTTCCTGGGTGATGCCCATGATGCTGGTCTGGGGACCACACTGAGAACCATTAATCTAAATGAACTTCAAAGATATGTGATAGTGCCTATGGAGACTTTTCATCTGGAATACTTTTTAGAAGATTGGGGGATGACTGGATATAAGTATAATATTTTGGTTTTTTTGAAAAATTACATTTTGTAAGTCAAATGAATAGTTCAGAGTTTATGAGAATATGAACTTCTTTCTGTATTTAAGATGCAAGGTAAGACTTTATATTCTTGCTATAAAAACATATGTAGAAATTATTCCCTATCAATGAAAAGTGATTTGTTTCCTATTTTTGTGGCTTAACAGCTAGTATACAGTGCTTACTGTGGTAAGCATGTATACTTTGAAAGTAGACAGCTTAGGGTCAGATCTTGATTCTACCACTGGCTTTGGGCCTTGAGGTCACAAATCCTTTAAACTCTAAGAGCCTCCTTTGTATAGTGAGGATAGTATCAACTGCACAGGGCTGTTGTAAGGATTAAGTGAAGTAGTGGCTTTAGACCACATATTGGAGTGCGTAGCATATAATAATTGCTCCATAAATGTTAGCTGCTATTGGAACACTGGAGTAAATGTGTGTTTTCAGGAATGTGACTTGGCCTAAAGTACTTTGGTAATGATCTCAGGTTTAACCTGATAAGTTGTTCTCTGTATCTATAATTCTCTATAAGTCCTCTGCTAAGATTAGGCATGAGTTGGCATGAAGTTATAAATTATACGTAAACAATGTGATTCAGAAGTTAAAATGTGTTCCAGATAGCCAAGAATCTAAAACAGCGCATAGCAAATTTCAGATTAAGAGGGAAGAACACTTTATATAGCTCAGTAGTCAAGAACTATGTGACCAGGTTGTCTGGGTTTGTATTCTGATTCCACCTTTAACCAGCTCTGTGACCTCTCCAGAATCATCACATGTCAAATAGTGGCAATAATAACACACATTTCAGAGAATTGTTATAAGTGCATACGGTCATATATGTGCATGCTTGTGCAAGCATACACACACACAGGAGAGCATATATAAAGTGATTATACCCTGTAAATGAAATGAGAAAAATGCTTACAACAATGTCTGGTTCAAAATAAACATTTCTATAGCTTTTTGTTATTCATATTCACTGTGTGTATATATTTGCAAAATTTTATTTCTAAAGACAAATAAATCAGAAAAAATAATAGTAGAGCATAGGTCTGTGAGATATTTACAAAACTAGAAACAAGTGCTGTCACAAACAATATAAAAAAGAAAATACTTCTTTCTTCCTGCTTTATCATCATCAAATTATAATTAGCCTTTCGCTTATAACCAGAGTTAGTATCTTTAAGACAATCTAGACTTGATTGACATCCTAAAACAAAAAAGAGACAAATCCCTTTTATACTTAAAAAATTCCCTAGTTTTGTTTCTGCATTTGACTCTCTTGACCACTGTATCAGTAATGGTGAAATCATTCCTTTTCTTAGTCTAACTTAGACTTGGCTTCACTCCCAGCCGTTACTTTTAACTTACCCAACTCTTCTTTCATCAGCTACCACTCCTAGGCACCAGGCATATAGCTATCCCTACTCAGGGTATATTTCCTCTCTGAAAGATTCCTAAGACTTCCTTTAGGCCTCACATCTATTCTATTCTCTCAGCTCAAGCCTTTGCCCATATCCACAAAGCCTGTTAACATTTCCACTTGAATTCTTCACCACCAGATCAAAATTGAACTTGTATGTCTTTAAAACCTTTTCTCTTTGCAATACCCCTGAGTATAAAAATACCATGCTGGACCCAGTTCCTGGGCTTAACATGTTGCCACTGACTCCGACCCATCCCTTTGCATTCCTTTCTTAACTACATGTTCCTTTTGACTTTTTCCCTGGTGCAGCTTCATGGCCAACTGCCCTTCTTTAGTTAGAACATATCACCCTAGTAGCTACCTCCCAGGAGACAGGAATTACTTCTGAACCACTTTCAACAAGCTGTTTGCCCATTCCACAGCTTTTGTGTTTTCATTTATATCAAGTGCAGACACTTCTGCATGGCTTCTGCCTGGCCTTTAGGTATTTCTGTAGTTTGCATTTAAAGCCTGTTTCCTCCCCCTGTCTCCCTTGGGCCAGGTTGACTTCTCTGGATAGACTTCTGACGATGATGCCACGAACACCCTTTATACTCACCACTATCTAGGTCTGCAACTACTGCATTTACATTCAGCACTTAGCATTCCTTTGTGCCTGGTATACATTCGCTTTGCTTTCCAGGTGTAGGAAGATAGGAATCACTCTTTAAATGTTCTTAAATTATACCTGAATCTAGAGTAGCACTTGAAACAGGAAATGAGCACACAAAGAACCACTGAATGTTAACCCTGAAAGAAATCTAAGAGAAATGTGCCATCTGGCCCCCCCTTATTATACAAAGCAATAATCCGATCACCTAGATGGATATTTTAAACATAATAGCTATATATTTAGATATATTGTCCTTCTATTCATGGTAAATGGAATCCAGTTGCCATGGACGATATAGAGTTTTGTTTTAGTAAATCAGATTTGCTTTTGATTAAAAACACTATTTAGAAAGAAAAGTTAAGAGCTAAGAAAATATGGAAAAAAATTAAGAAAGCAATCCTCAAATAAGCCTCAAAAATACTGCCGTACATATGGTCAGAGTTTGCATTTACTCAATCATTGTTGAGCGATTGATATCTCATATCCTACAACCTAGAAAATAGTCTTCAGACCCATTTCCTAAACCCCCTACGATGAAATGAGCAGATAATAATTTTCATAGTTACATTTTCAGCAAAAGGTCAAGGGAAGAGAAGAATTAATGATCAATTGGTAGAAATGTTTCTTGGTTCTTCTGAGGTTGTCCATTTGCCAGATTCACTGGAGATGGTAATATTACTACATATCCAGTGCTGTCATCCTGAGGCATAGAGTGGGGCATCTCTCTCCTACCAATGCACCTCCTGGGTCTCTCACTCATACACAAAATCTAGCTGAGCAAGCTGCTGCATATGAAACCCTGAGCAAGCTAAAAATAAATAAATAAATAAATAAATTTCTATGTGCACAAAATTATGTAGACAGACTTTTGTATTTGGCATGTCAATTCCTGTGTGTTCTCCCTCTCTTATTTTGAAAACTTTAATAGCCACTCTCAGCAGCCTTACTTTATAGTACTTTCCACCAGCTAGTTTAGTCTCATTGCCCAGGCTCAATGAATTATAGACCTCAAAGTAAACGCTCTGCAGGAAAACACAAATAGACTGTGGCTTGAGGTCTATTTGTGGTGGGGTCTAAAAAGCCAACATCTAAAATAGAAAAAAAACTCTGAATACTGGGTTATATGAAAAAGAGATCCCATGTTGATTTAAACTCCTTAAGTCCCATTTCATCAGTTAAGGGTACAAACCCCATGCAACTGCCCCCACTGAAGAACCAGCTGTAGGTTTGGAGGACCCAGACCACATGTACTTCTGACCAACTGGCTCAAATTCAGTGTTCTCAAGCCCCTAAGTTTTGATAATTTCCTAGAATAGCTCCCAGAACTCAGGAGAACACTAAAAGTTTTATTATAAAAGATATATATTAGAACCAGTGAGATAAAAAAACACATAGAGTGAGGTGTGGGAGGATTCCATGAGTGAAGTTTCTCTGTCCTCAGGTTACATCACCTTCCTGGTACCTTAATGTGTATCACAAACCAGTAAGCTTTTTCCTGGCCCTGTAATCCAGGGTTTCTAATGAGGTTTCATTATGAAGGCATGATTGACTGAATAATTAGCAACATGACCATCAGCCTCCAACCCTACGTCTATCCTGAAGTTTGTCAGGTCAGGCTGGTTTCAAGTGGCTGGAAGCCTCCTTCAATTCCATGTTGGTCTTCCTGGCATAGCCAGCCCCAATCCTGAAATCATGTAAACACCCACAGTAAATTGCCTCATTAGGATAAATGCACATGAAATCTCAGGGACCCACCATGAAAAGCAAAGGTAATCCTACCACCTGGGAAATTCCAAGGGTTTGATTCATTCCTTAAACCCAGGACAACGACCACATAAATTCTTTATTATAAAATGTGCAAAAAGCTACACAAAAATCGGTTCTATTTTAAGTAACAGAAAGCCACAGCCAAAAAATATATATATTTTTTTCTACCATAGAACTACATATGTATGTAGTTTTTCTACCATAAAACTATATATGTGTTGTAGTTTTATGGTAGAGAAACTCACTGGAAAAAATGCACAGAAAATAAATGGCCACTGAACACTACTGGAGTATTTTGTTTTTAGTTACTTATTTATCAGCAATATTTATCAAGTACCTACTATGTCAGTCACTGGAAATATACTGTTACATTGTCAGCATGATAAAATTTATTTATTTGAATTACATAGAAAAGAGAAAGGTTGAACTATTTGGAATTATCTGATGATTTTAATTCTAATCAAAATGAACCTGAGTTTTGAAATAGTTGTTAATTTTTGTTTGTGAGGAATGATGTAAGAGAGGCCCCAAACCATGAAGTTTGGGGCATTAAACTTTGTGAAGAATTTGGGGAGGTGGAGATAATAGAAATAAATATTGCTAGTTTAATCTGAATACTACCATTTGGTCTCATGTTTGTAAAGAAAATCACGAAGTGCTTTGAAATGTCATGTTGTATTATAAATTGTTCTTTTTTTGCTTTCCTGTAATTGGAGCAACCTACTAATTTATACAAGTTGTGACTACTAACAGAGAGCAATCACCTCACAGACTTGTACCGAAAAGAAGAAACCATCCAAGTGACAGGAAACGGTCATGTACAGAGTCCACGCTTCCCGAATAGCTACCCCAGGAACCTGCTTCTGACATGGCGGCTCCATTCTCAAGACAAAACCAGGATACAGCTGGCATTTGACAATCAATTTGGATTAGAGGAAGCAGAAAATGATATCTGTAGGTAAGTGTGGGGAAAATATTTATTATAGGGTACAAATTTTGAAAAAAGATGAATTTAAAACTTTACATCGGCATTTCTTTTGAGCCCTTTAGACCTACCTAAGATGTATCCCTTCTTTTCCCAAAAAGCTGTTTATTAGCCCTACAGACAAAAACTATAGATATGCTACCACTGAGGGCGTGATAGCCTGCCATGTTAACTCTGGCAACTGTTATGGCTCTGTGACTTCCAAAGAAGGGTACAATCTGGAGGTCCATGACCTTCCAAGCAGAGAATAGACATTGTGAGCAGGTAAATGCATTCAATATCCCAGTCACCTGCAGCAGCTGTACCTGGTCAGAGTGTGGGAACCTGCCATGGGCTTAGGGAGCATAACCCTCAACTCAACTCCAGGAATTGAACCAAGACAATTGTAGCCATGACTTTCCCAAAGCTGAGAGAAGATGGAAGCTGAGGTTCTGGTCAGGACCTTAGTCTGAATTCATACTTTTAAGAATTCAGATATGTATAGGAAGGAAGAGAAAGCAACCACTGCATCAGTGCTCCTCTGGCACCTGTTTCCTGTGGTTTCTGGGCCAGGGATGGAAGATGAAAGTTGGACCTGATAATCTTCTCCCTTCTTAACACATTTCAGAGAAAGTCCAGGCTGTTGTTCTTTGAATTGCCCTCCCACAGCATCTTATTCACTTAATTATCATGTGTTAGGCTTTGGGAGGGATTTTTTTTTCTTTTCATACTTTACTGCATGCACTTGTTCTGCATTGCCAATGAACTACTGAACTGCTAAATCCTTTCAGCAGGTTTATTTTCCTTTGAATAATAAAAAAGAGGTGTCTCAAATTTGATCGTCCTTTGTTGCATGTTTATTATGCTGACAGCTTTTATTATGTTGCTACTTTCCCAAGAATAACAGCAGTGACTATTACTTTCTAGGACCACAGAGGGTAATGTATGCCAGAAAACGAAACTAATACATGCAAGGAGAGCCAGTTAATATTTACAAAGAGAATAAACTAAAGCTGATCTTGTGTCTTTTCAACCTTGAAAGAGAGAACTAATTTTCTGTACTGACATGCACCAAAAAAAAAAAAAAAAAAAAAATCCTAGGGGGAAAAACACTATTAAAAGGTGAGGACAGAAGGTGAGATTTTTAAAGGTGAGAAACAGAAGATACCATGATCCGTTTCTACCCACAGAACACTTCTGACACCAAACGTGTAGGGTTCCCCCCCACACATCAACCAATTCTCTACCACCATCTGGGTATCCCACAATTCAAATGAACTCTGCCACCATCTGCTTAGAGTTGGCTATCAATCCCACAAGCCTTCGCTACATTAAATTCACTTGCAGATCCCAGTCCTCCCCCAATTCTAACTGAACAACTGGTCAATCAGGGGTCCTTACAGCTCTACAGAGCAAGTATATGGAAGGGCACCTTCTCCAGGTGCATCACTGCCTAAACACTTGATGTATTCACCAACTCAGAAGCTCTCTGTACCCCACAGTTAGGAGGGCTTGTGGAGGTTTCATTATGGAAGCATGGGTGATTGGATCATTGGCTATTGGTGATTAAGCTAAGAGGTTCAGGGTGGGGCTGAAAGTTCCGACCCTCTAATCATAGCTTGGTCTTTCTGGTGACCATCCTCCATCCTGAAGCTATCTAGGGGCCTGCCAAATGTCATCACATCAGGATAAACTCAGTTGTGACTGAAAGGGGCTTATTATGAATAATAAAAGATGATCTTCTCATCCATCACTCAAATTCCAAGGGATTTTGGATAGGAACCACACACAGCTCCACAGAAGGGAAGCCACTAATGAACTTTTAGTCCTAGCCGTGAGCCCTTTGGGCATCCTAGTGTTGAAAATAGGAGAGTAAGTGTTAGGATGGTTTTCTTTCTGGACCCTTCCTCACTGGGTCTCAAAATATACAGAATGAGTTAAAGAAGCAATAGACAGGGGAAAAAGCAGATCATTTACTTGTCTCAAAATCCTCCCTAAAAAAAAACATGGTACCCTCTTAATTTTGGACTCTGAGTAAAATTAAACCGATGTTGTTTTTTGAAAACAAAAGTGACCTATAGTGTTATTAACAAAGTTTCAAGTATAGTTATGCTTTGAGCAGTAAATATGATTTACATACACTGTATATAAAATGAAATGCAATTGATTTCCTACCATCTGTTCCAAAGCCTCCGTGATGTTTACATTGTAATATTTTATTGCCTAAATAATGATGTTTTGTTAGTGCTTTTTACCTTCCAAACACCATATAAATGTTAAGTAATTAATTTACACAGCACCCAAGAGATATCCAGCTGGTAAAATTATATAAGCCTTCTTATTTTGCCCATAAGGAAACTGAGGCAAAGGACATAAGGGCCTCATAAATCACTGTCACAATGTTAACATTTTTCACCTACTCCCTAGATTACCCTTCTCAATCAAGTAAGAGGCTCATGGGTAAAACTGGTAAACCATACTCACCAGTTTTATTCATATTTAGCTCTGATGCTTCTTATGCAGATTCCTTCTGGTAACCATGACAGAAAAATATAAGATGCATCAGAGTTTTCTGCCACTGTTCACCCTGAATGCCCACCCTATGCTTTTGACTTTGACATCTGAAATTATTTGAGAAAGGCAAGCTCAGGAGTGAGATAGTGATGACCAGAACTGAAAGTCAGATAGTTCAGCCAAGTAAGCAGAGTGTTTCAAGATCTCAGGGCTCTGGAAATAAAACAAATGACCACTAGAAGATGGAAACTGTATCACTGAAGATATCCTACTGTGATAGGATTGTATAGAGGAACTTCAAGGATTGAATGGTCACATGGGATAACTAAACAGGCCTTGGCTATTTTCCTTCATCCTGGATCCCAAGTTTCTCTGCCCAGTGCTCAAGGTGAGCCCAGGGTCCTCAGTTCACACCGTTTAACCAGCCAGACTGGTCCAGTATGAGTCGCACATACGTTTCCCCAAAGTTAAATGCTTTCCCTTATGACAAATGTCACACTTTATGATGTGATCCTCCCATAATATGGTTTCCATGAAGAGAATAGAACAAATTGTGCCCATATTTGTTTATTTTCTGCAATGAGAATACTGATTTTATAAGCTACATATATATCAATCATGTCCTCAAGGAAGAACTGAATTTGTTAAATTAATTTAAACAGTAAATTTGTTTTAAAGACTTATAAAATAAACATTTGGGCAGATAATTTGAGCTACACCTAAAATATACAAACAGTTACAGTTGTTAGTTTTTCTAAGAAATCTCTCTAAGATAGATGCTCAGAAATAGCCCATTTGGATTATTGGTGATCTGAAAACAGTAACTGAATGCATGTACAGATTTTCTTAGACTAGATCACCAAAGTTTGAGTTTGGAAAACCTCATCCCTACCCAGCTTTCCTTTTAACAATTCTGTAGGTACGCTAGTCATCTCAATTGGTAGATAACAATAAATCACTTTTGTTGGTTTTAATTTCTCAGTGTAATTATAAATTTCAAAATCTACTTTAATCAAAACATTTTTATTCATGTCAAACTGATCCTAGGTACGATTTTGTGGAAGTCGAAGATGTATCTGAAACCAGTACCGTTATTAGAGGCCGATGGTGTGGACACAAGGAAGTTCCTCCAAGGATAACATCAAGAACAAACCAAATTAAAATAACATTCAAGTCTGATGACTACTTTGTGGCAAAACCTGGATTCAGGATTTATTATTCTTTTGTGGTAAGTAGCTAAACCACCCTATGATTAAAAGCAGACACTGGTTTCATGAAGGATAGAGATCATTTTCTGAGATTAAATACAGTGGTGTGAGGGTGAACGAACTTTATTAATTCCTTATGTTGTGTTTTGTTCCTATCCTGTGGTCAAAATTCTAAAGGATTTTTTGTAATGAATGCCATTTTGGATCTAGTACATAAATATTTAGGCCGAACATTTTGAAAGAAAGCATAGTAAATTAAAAAAAGTAAAATTATAGTGAAGTGAGGTACAGTTAAAAAAGAAGGTACGTGAGCCTTGGACAGGTTTTAAGAATTAAAACTAAAGAAAATATTTCCCCTTTTTGTTTGAAAATTTGACCATAAATTTCATCACAGTAAAAGAAAAAAAAAAAAAAAAGGTCCTGATGATTTTAGTTTAAGTGACAACCCAGATTTGGGAAGAGTCCATGATATAATCACAGAGCCTCAGGGTTGACACATGTCTGCAAGATCATGAGATCACACAGGACCTGAAAGTCTAAGCCTGGTTGACTACACTCAATTTTACTTAAAACACTCAGCAGCCCTTTTCAGGACCACTTCTTGTGTGGAGGTCAGTACAGACATGGATTGGGGGAAGGTTTTGACTGTTAGAACATGTTCAGCCTCATGTTTAGCCAACATGTTCACAACAGTTAATTCTACTTGTTAGGTCACTCAAAAGCATGTATTTTTATCCATTCATTCATTTGGTATCAAGAAAAGATGCCAAAATAGAACACAGTACTATAAATGGCATCAATATGTTGGATTTTTTCCTCTTAAGAATTAAATTTAGGGCTGGGGATGTGGCTCAAGCTGTAGTGCGCTCGCCTGGCTTGCGCGGGGCACTGGGTTCGATCCTCAGCACCACATAAAAATAAAAGATGTTGTGTCTACTGAAAACTAAAAAATAAATATTAAAAAAAAAGAATTAAATTTAGAATAGGAAAATTGCTACTGTTGTAATCTTAAAGTCTCTTGCATGATGGTGAGCTATGAAACACTATGTGAGTTCCACATCAGAACATTGTAAATGAAAAAATAGCATGTGGCACCTCTTCCAGTTTTAATCCGAAAATAATCCATCAAGCATGATTTACATTATTGCAGAATCATGCAATGCTGCTCAGCATTAAAATTTAAGTGTCAACACTTGGTTTCTACATTTCTTTCCCTTTTTAATGTGTTCAGTGATGTGTCTGTTCTCAGTTGCTTATGGAAAAAGCAGGCTTGGCATGTTAGAATGATGATCGATGGGCTTCATGAAAAGACCTTTATGTCCCACAAAGTATGAAGCACTAGTATGAAGCGCTAGTATGAAGCACCATCAGTACTAACGTATGTGCTTTCTGTGATGCTTGGCTTATGACTAAGCTAAATGTCAATTAGAAACACCTTGACTCTAACACAACATCTTTAAGGCAATACCACTCCTTTTATGGAGAGCAGTACAAACATGGGCTAGGGGAGGAATGAATGTTCTTGCTTTTGGTGTATAAGGTTATGGTGAGAACTTATCACTAATTTCCCCAGCCAGTGTTAACTGGAATATTGGAGAGGCTCTGTAGTTTGGATGGAAATTGTTCAAGGTCACTTTCCTCAGACATTTGCTTCCACCCATACATAGAATTGTGCTGTAACTAAATGGCAATAGTTAGAACATTTTTGTGTGTTTTCCTATTGGTCTTTTGGTCTGCTCCACAGAGATACATGTGTTTCCCCCTCCTACTAGGCTTCTGGCACCAAATATGGTCAATTTGGCCTAACGTGTTTGGCCACTGATCCCAAGAGGCAAAAAATCATCTTCTGATACATAGAGACCTTGGGCATGTGGCTTTTTGATACAACTCTTCTGTTTGATTCTTCATGGATAGGCACAGACTATATCACATATGTCTTGACCTCTGTTTTGGGAAAAATCTTTTTTTTTTTATTTCATGTTAATATTTTACTTGAAGAAACTTTAAAAGCAGGGTTTATAGATTCAATAACCAAAGCTCAAAACTGAAAGTGGATGAGCGATAAATTAATAGTAAGGCAGTGAAATTAGAAATGGCAAGCCCTCATCAAATGCATTTAAATGATGGTTTTTAGAATGCTAAACATCTTCAGAACTGGACACAGCTTCTTGGTAACCCTACTTTAAAGAATGGTGGGTACTAGGAAAATTTGAGCCTTAAGAATAATTTCTGACAAGGCCAAGTTCCCTTGGGAAATGGAAAGTAGCTGTAAGGAGAGGTCAAGATCATCTCTCTTCTAATCTCCCTTTCCCCTTCCTTGCCTCCTCTTCCTTCCATGCATCTGTGTTTTTCCCACCTCAGTAACTGTCCAAGTGCATAGGGGCTTCTGAGGATGTATGCAACAGGTGCCCAGGAAACTCAAGACCTACTGCCCTTCAATAAAGTCTGTATGGTCTGTGACCAATGCTTTTAAAACAACCCAGTATACACTTTTAGTCAATTTTTCACCCTAGCAAACCATGGGAAACTAATGGATAACATTAAGATGACTTATTTTTGGTTGAGAATGATTCCTATATTCCAACTTTGTTTGATGTATTTGAAATTAAGTCTTTTACCTTTTTCAGAAAGTAGAAATAGACTTGTCATAGTCTCCTCCCAGAGCTGTACTATAAAGCATACTTAAGATTAAAAGCAGAGGTCACCAGCTACTAACGGTATGATACTGAACCACTTTCTTACCATTTAAACACTTTTTAAAATTGGAATTGGTATGAGATTTTAAAAAAGATAGAAATAATTAGCACAGTACCTAGAATACAGTTAGTGCTCAATAAATGTAATCATGATCCTACCCTTACCATTACTAATTATGTGTACATATATGCATATGTGTTTATATGTACGTAAATATTTGCATGTTTATATGTGTGTCTGTGAATGTGTGTATATGTTTTCACATAAACACACTTGTACATATCTACATGTATGCATATCTGAGTACATAATTAGTAATGAGGATCATACATTATGTGTATATACATATATAGATAAATGGCAATGAACTTTCTGAGGGTAGGAGAAATATCTTATTCTCATGTGGATTCTACACAGTGGCTATACTAGATTATGTGTGTGGATTGACACTTTCCTGAGAAAATATGATTCATAAGAACTGCCTAATTTCATTTTCTCTCCTGTTCAGCCTTCTTTTCTAATTTCACTTCACTGAGAAGAGTAGATGGCTTCAGAATGCATAATTAAGCAGAATAGGTAATGTTATAAAACACTTGCTTGATATAATTATCTAAATATATTAGGATCTTCCACTATAAATCCAGTTGGTTGGGGAAATAAAAGAATCATTGCACAGTCTTTTCTTTTTGAGGATGACTAAGTGTGTTATTGGAAAGGTGTCCAATTATAATGCGACTGTGGGTACTGTGCAGAGAGTGAACAGACATGATTATGAACTTCAGCTCTGCTTCTTACTGGTTTGGTTTTCTCATCTACAAATGGGGATAATGCTATCTGACATTAGGTAGTTGTGAGAATTAAATTAGATAACTTTTATAAATGACTCTTCCTGGAATTTAGTAATTACTCATTGCTGTTATAGTCATCGTTATTATTGGTATAATTAACATATCAGGTGACAGGTAAGCTTAGAAGTCCTATTCTAATCTCCTAGTTATTGGTATGTTTAAGTATGTGTTTGTGTTTGTGAGTGTGTGTGTGTGTATGTATGTATGTGTGCCCTGTGATAATAATTCACTTTCCTCATCCATGGCAGAAACATTGAACATTGTAACAAGCATGAAAACTTCATTTTGCAATCCAGCGTGCCTATGTATATGGGCATGTATGCATTTAATAAGGAAGTACTTTTTAAAATTCAAAAATAAGCCAATGGAAAGCTATTCAAAAGTTTTCATTTTATTAAGTCTAGTTTATTTCATAAGTTGTAGTTTGCTAATATTCATTGTTAATACTTTCTAAAAGAAAAATGCAGTTTTACCAGGCCAGTTACGTAAATGTCTCTGCAGTGAATTAATTAAGTAGGCCAGGCACAGTAGCACATTCCTGTAATCCCAGAGGCTTAGGAGGCTGAGGCAGGAGAATCACGAGTTTGAGGCCTCAGCAACTTTGCAAGACCCTGTCTCAAAATAAAGTATAAAAAGGGCTGGGGTTGTGGATGTGGCTCAGTAGATTAGTGTCCCCAGGTTCAGTTCCCAGTACAAAAATTTTAAAAATTCCATTGAGAATAAAATTCAAGTGAATGATGATCTTGCACAAATATGATTATTTAAAGTAGAAAAAGAATAAAAAGGAGAAGATGGAAAAGAAGAAAATGAGAAGATGGAGGAGGAAGAATAGGAAAACCTAGGAGTTGAACAAGAGCGATTATAATAACTTTTACAGATTCTAATTTTTTCTCACCTAAAACTCAACAGTTAGTGAAACAAAAACAAATTCATCAACAACAAAATAAAAGTATGCAACTCATGCTCATTCTAAGTTAAATCCTTTAAAAAAAAATAGCTAGAGATTAAAGGAATTCCTCAACTGCAAAAATGTGTGCAAATTCCATCTTGATTTGCAGAGCCAGATAAAAATGTTCTGAAAATCCACAGGTGTTCTGGCCACTTCAGCCAGGAATGTATGTAGAGCCTGGAACTGTCAAGGCATAGGTGGTGATGCCCACAGCAGATTCTGCTTATCTCCATTCTGACCCCTCAGTTGTCTCCTACTGGAGGTAGGAGAGCCACGACATTGTTTCATAAATGCCCACCAGAAGCCAGACCAGGCATATCCAAGGCCCTGGAGATACAGCATGGAGGAAGATAGGCAGAGTCACTGCCCTCAGGAACTCTCATGACAGTGAGAGGAAACAGACACTAAACTGAAGCAGGGAAATAAGCACATTAGTGAAACAGATTATTTGAAGTTCAATAAAGGCAGATAAAAGAGAGCAACTTGGTGAGTGACTGGAAAGGATCCCCCTCCAGCCAGGGGTCAA